ATACCATCGTGTCTCAGATAGTTGGCCAATTGAATGAATCCAGCGCGCGGAACTGTGTATTGGCGAACAAATTGAAGGCAGTTGATGGTGTGCTCGGTCACGTTTTTAATATTGTTTGTTGTATTGATAATAGTAGATATAACTTCCGAAATACTGTTGATAGAGTCTATGTCATTTTGGAATGCCATTATCGCTTTGTCAAAATCGGTAATTGTGTAGTTTATAATGTTGTTGTAATTGTGAATGGCTTGGTTAAGACTGGCTAAAATATAACCATTAACAGTTTCCAAATCAAACACAAGTTTGATAAGAGATTTTGCTTTTAAATCTACATTAACTTCCTTCATAATGTGATTGAAGTTGATCTGCCTCATGTTAAATTCTGTGCGAGTGGAAAAGGCGTGAGGCGGCAACATTGTTAATTAAAAGTTTTGGTTAATTTTTAAAAAATAAAAAGTGTATTTTTGCTTTAAAAATATTAATAAAATTGAAGTGTTTTTATAATTTTAAAAACAGAAAGATAATAAAGAATATTTATTTAAAAATTGGGGAAAACAGCTTTAACAAAAAAATAAACATTTGTAATAATAAATTATTTTTATTGAATATTGGGGTTATTTCCAAATTTTTATACTTTTATTGTTTGTTTCTTGCAAAAATGTGTATGCTTTTATTATTTTTGTCTTATTTAAAAATACTTTAACGAATGTTCGAAAATAAACAAGAAAAATAATTAAACAGATAAGGTTTAAGGACCAGATAACGTTAATAGACTGACTCTATATGTTTATTTGTATACGTTCTAATTTTAAATTGACCAAAAAATAAATTGAACAAATCAAAGCAAAGGAGAAAACCATTTTTTTGTTGAACTCCAATCGAATATCACTTGATAAAAAGTGTTAATCGAGGTAGAATTCAATTAAAATCAATTAAAGTTCAACTTGATGGAATAAACAATTTATGTTTGTACATTGAATGTTGTTCTTGTTTTAATGTGAGTTGCAACAAACTGTTGTATCGTTTGAACATTTTAAATAACACATATATACAATCGCTGTTGTATACAGTATCATAAGTTTATTTTATATATATATATATATATATTTCTAAACAAAAGAAATAAAGTAAAAAAACCAAAAAGAAGATAAATTATTTTAAATCATTACACAAAATAATTAATAATTATTGTCTTTATACCAGATAATTTTGAGACACGTAACGTTAGAAGACTGACTGCGTTCATTTTGTATAAGTTCAATATGGTTGTAATTGTTAAAAAACTACAAGTTTTTAATTATTTCAAATAGTACTCTGTAATAATTAAAAACCTACATTGACCTACACCAATTCTAAAAATAGAATTAATTACTCTTACTTATTATAGACAAATTACAAATATAATTAATAGTAAACTAAAAAGATCGATACACGAATTTAAGAAATGTCGTATATTTACCCCGAGTCAGTAAATTATGAATGAAACAAAGCATTGAAAAACGCTTATGAAGACGCATTCTGTTTGTGCACCCATTCACCACTTTCCAAGTTATCCCTTGGCGTGAATCCACAAACAGGGATCCACATTCAAATTCACTCAGTATTGACAAGAAAAGTGGGTGACACACAAAACGCACAAACAATGGCTTAAAGGTGGACTTCCTTCAAAAAAAACATTTTATTTTTGTAAAATAATTGATGATCGATGTATGTCTGTTTAATAAAACAAATAATACATTAATATTAAAATTATACTATTAAATAATTATATAATTAAGTTTTCTGCAACACTATTAAAAAATCCTTGTATGAAAATATTAAAAAAATAATATTTTATTATTTTGCCGAGTGTAAAAAACAAAAAAGAGAATAAACCCGTTTGAGTTCCTTTGTGGATTTTTATCATTGTAAATTTATTAAAATTAATATTCAAATGAAAAAAGTAATTACTAAGATATTCGAATTATTGTTATTTTTAATTATTTCCAAGTGTTTTATAACTTATAGGAATTTGCTAAGACGACAAATGTTTGTAATAAGCGTTTTGTCGCCACTTGAAGTGACATTTCATCAACTTGATTCACGTAAATTCATATAGTGTTTTTATAAATATACATACTTAAAATTTAAGTTGATAGTACTTCTGTTTATATTTTTTTCTTACAAGATTAACTTCGAAAACCGTCCCTAAAATTAAGTATCTTCATCATAACATTTAACGTTAAATATATCACTTAATTTTATATAGACTTATAATTACTAAAAAAAACAACTGTTATTGTTTGAACTTTTAGTTTTTAATAATCAATGGCATATTTTTCAAAGATTCGATTAGATACAGTAAGACCTCGATTATTTCCAAACCTCGACAATTTCAAAGATCTGATTGGTTGTTTGAAGTTTTTTGGAAAAATGCGAGGTAATTTTAAGTTAGTTAATTTAAATTATTAGCTTATATAACAATTTACTAAAAAATTCAAAATCTTCAATTTGGAAAGTGTCAAGGTTTTTAAAATAAAAAAATTGGAAATAATCGAGGTCTTACTGTATTGATAAAAAGGGGGCTAAAAACCGCTTCTTTTTTTATGATAAAAATAATAAATGTTATTCATTTTGTCTTTTTTGTTATTGCTTTTTCATTTACAAAAAGAAAAAAATAACATAACAATCAGTAATATGGGACCGACTAATTTCACCACCACCTCTAAAAATAAAAATATCTACAAGTCGGTACGAAACCCCAATAGTTTTTTAAAACCCCTCAAGTCGTCAATTGATTTGTCAAAACCAGAAAAAATATTATATATTTAGAAACAACATTTCGGATAAAGATTGCAAGCCAACTTCAGAAATGCGTTGTTGAAACATGTTCTCCGATGTCACTTCTTGTGGTTTTACACGAAACGCGACTTGTTATGATCATGTGTTGAACGTTTATAAACAAATGTAGTTTTTATGGTTTTTGTTTTTGTTTTCGTTATACAACACTTTTTATTGTCCATTTTTATCGTACTTGTTCGGGATAACGTCGTAATTAATGTTCTTTGAAGCTTGAGGGGTTTAAGACGAATTGATGGGTTGTTACCATACCTGTATTTATAAACAAATAATTATTAGTAAATGCTCAATATAGGTTTATAATAACAACAATATAATTTATTATTTTGTTTTTCAAATGAACTTACGAATTACTTTTAATTTTTCATATTTACAAACCACAATCTAATCACTAAGTTGAAAATTATTTCTTAATCATTGGACATGTTTGTTATAACCATATTGTTGACACCTTCCACATTGAGTTATTTGTCGTTTTTTATGTTCTACATTACATTGTGTTGGCTTCTTAAATCCGCCTTTATTTTCTACTATTTTTAAAAGTCTTTTTGGCAAAGGT